GCAGGAATTAAAAAGACATTGTTTTGTTTTTTTTTAAAAAAGGCTAGTCAGTGTGTTTATGATTCGAACACTTCAACAATGCACTTCCAAGAACTGGCAAACAAAATCAGCTGTAAACCAGGTACAAAAAAAAAGACAACTATTATTTTCACTGTACAAGTTGAAGAAATATAGAAAAAGAGAAACACATCCAGGTTAACAACTGAAAATAGCACAAATAATATGGGAGACACTTCAAAATATTTAGTTGCTAAAGTTATCTAAACTCAGTTTTTTGTGACTGGGTGCTGTTACAAACTTGCCAACAGAACAGACATGAAGATCACTAGCAGGTAGCTTCTGCTCCTGTTTAAATGGGCACAAGCTACAACTCATTCACCTTCTAAGGTGGTCCCTTGAGGCCAGGACTGAAACGCATGTTAGGGCCATAGACAAAGGATTTAAATTCCCAGGATTATCAGTCAGGCATCTTCCAAGTGAACTACAGTGTTCATTTTATGAAGTGTCAGAGATGTTAGTTCCAATTCTGCAGCTGAAAAGCTATGTTATGATACAATCTTTCCCAAGTTACCCATATGAGAGGCAAGCCATTCTGAATCACACAAAAGTGGTTTGCCTGCAGGGCACTAATTATTTATTACATGTAGCTTCACATCCAGTAGAAGAATATGCATAATTTACTCATCTCCTTGACGTCTTTCGGGTTATACAGTGTCTAAGCACAGAGATAAGATAGTGCTCTTACGGGCATTTGCCAGGAGGTGACCGGAGGGGAAAACTCCTCAGTTGTGGAAGATGGGAACTTCAGCCAAAAGAATAAAATACAGGAACTGGACTTTCTTACACAGTTTATCATGACAGTATTTGGAAAACCCAGTACCACTGCATGCGCATTCTTACAGTAGCTTGGACAAACATCACAGGAAACATATATGCTATGGGACAATCCTGCACTTGGCATGCATCAGTGAAATAGCCCCCTGCCTTTTAATAGCAGTTTATATTTACTTTCACATTGAAAATAAAAACTGGGAAAGTAGTAACAACTACAGAGCTCTTTTTCTGACAGTTCTTTGGACTTTGTCAGGAAACAGGCTGCATAACTATCATTAAAAAAATTCTGGCCAAAGGCTGGATTCAGGTAGGGTAAAGACAGAGGAAAGAGATTAAGAAAAAAACCCTATGTATCACATCAAAGCCTTAATAGGTGAACATGACTGAGAACATCAATGTATTCCCTTCTGTCAGTGCGTCACTACTATGGTTAAGAGAAAAGACAGGTGCTAAACTACACACAAGTTACATAAACTGAATATTTCCACCCAAGAACACATTTGAGTATATAAAACAAGAATAAAATACCAAAGAAATCAAACAATATATATGAAGAATCTCACTCATCAGCTTCAATGGTGAGAATAGATTTCAGAATAGTAAAGTATGCAAGCTGATGAATGCACATGAACAAACATATGGAAAAAGGCTGATACCTAGCGGGTCTTTTCAAGGTCTGATTTAAGGCATTTCATGAGTGCCAAAAAGTAGCATGAAGTTCTCCCAATGCACTGTGAGAAACACGCTACCACCCTCCCTGGCTCTGCTACTGGGATGAGGAGCTGACTTCTCTTGTTGTGTTCCTAAATTACAACTCTGCATAAAATACAGCACTTGCATAAAAGAATACCTTAAGAAAGAACTCCTGAAAAAAAAAGTTATTTTCAAGGAGTGACAGTTCTCCATCACACAAAGTGCCACACAGAGAAAAAGTACTCCCAATTTTATTTTATTTTTTTTACATATTAGCCTTGGGAATAATCCTGTCACCATCATCTTTATGTCCTTCAACACAAAACCACTGCTAAACCCCACAGCAAATGATGTTTTCCTATTATCATATCCATTCATGCTTACATAATATCTAAGACATCTCCATTATCTTATGAACTCTGCCATCATTATGGCATTTATTATTATTGACTACTGTAGCTGAAGCTGCAAAACGGTTTCAATAACGTTTTCACTCCTTCAAAAACTCTTTTCTGTATGTAGGTTTTCCATTGTCAATTCAGTCATGAATATGCATGATTTCCCTTGTTTGCATGCTGTGTGAGGCTAAGACCTTTGGATGGCTGTGTGCAGACCTAGACAGGCTTAAGTGTCAGCAGAGATTAAAGCTAGTCCCCAGCTAATATTCACATTAGCCTCTTGCTCCTCTCCACAGACAGAGACACAGAGAGAAAATTAAACGTATTCTAGAGTCTCTAATCCTACCAACACTTTAAGCACTTTATTGTATGCTCAGCTTTAGAAAGAGAGCTTCTAAAGTTTCCATAGTTACTACAAATAAGAGCATGAGTCTGTTTGTTGTGAAACTGCATGAAAGTAAAGAAATGCAGCAAGCACAGCAGATTTGATTGCATAGACTTGTCTAGATTTTTCCAAGAGGACATACTGCACTTGCAAATTAATTAATATTATAGACAAGGAAGTGAAGATTACAATATCTCCGTCACAGTGCAGAAGGCATACAAAAGAAATAAAAATTTTCATTTCATTTTGCAGGAGCTTCATTAACTAGACTACATGCATTTAGGGAATGAAAGCAAACGCACTTATAGCAACTCTTTCAGAATCCATCAGTACTGCTTGCTATGGGATTCCTATGTTATTCTGACTTATATAAACAATAACAAAACTGAATCAACTTGCCCTCTGTTCCATACTTCTGTAACATCTTCATAGAGCAATTTAAAATTAATAATCTAAACTCTTCTTCCAGGTAATAACTTCAATTGTCAGGGAGGGGGGCATACAGGGAAAAAGGAGAGAGGTAGAGAAAATGTGCTGGCAATCTGCCCTAGAAGATAAAAAAAATTACTACAAGGGAACTTTTCACCATTCTCTTGTTTCTTTTCATATGTATTCTGCTACAAAAGGTTGCTAGAGTCAATGCGAGCAATAGCAAAGTGAATGTTTTATAAGTTTAATGGTGTATGAAGATACAACTGCAGGAGTCGCTAATCAGTATCTTACTATGATGCATTACTAAAGAGGAAGACTTACAAACCATTTCCCCAAGAGAATATTCCACCCTTTCATTCTCACATTAGGAGGACAAATTTGGACTAAATGTTATTGGCACGTCTATTGCAGCCATCAGGAATTGTATGAATTGTTCTATAAAACAATTTAGATTCTATGGATGAAAGACAGCAGGAGGTTTGAATCTGACAAGGTAGATATACAGCAATGCACAAGTAATCTTGAAAGTATGTTGCTCGAAAAAGGCAAGTAGCCAGTTTTAAAAGTTAAGTATTATCATTATCTAATATAGGATACTGAAGAGTGGTGACAAGGAAAATGAAATGCATGCATCTGTTTTCTTAAGTCTCATTGACAGTTATTAATACTGAGGAATTTCTAAATATAACATCCTTGGTGGAGAACTTGACTTATTACATAGTGTAGATACTTATTTTTTTTTAGTTTAGACTGTTTCCTCACCGCAGCTGACTTTCAATAATTAAATTATTACTTAGGAAACTTTCTTCCTTAAAAGTCATTTGGCCTAATGAGAAAAAGGGGATATTCTTTGCCCAATTCCATTACCTTATTTAAATAAGATTTTTTGCTATTTAAATATCAACTACATTTCAATCAACTATAGGAAGATATACAAAACCTTATCAAGAAAGACAAGCTACATGGGTTGGAACCCTAGTCAAATGAGCTGTTTATGCAACAGCTAAAGCCACCCAACTTCTCTAATAGCTTTTCTGCAACAGGTCTATGGGGCTAGAAAGAAGAGATAATGAAAATACAGCTCTTGTTAACTCTAATTCTTTCTGGTCTTCAACAATAATCCAATTATCACTAAAGCTTCTGTAGACAGGAATAAAATACTAAAGTGTCATGTTCAAAGAATCACTTCCACTTACAGACCTGACTGGACCACACTGAAAAGACATAAACCATTTCTTCTTCAAGTCTTTCAGTCCTTTTAAGTACTTCTGTTCCACAGCAACTCAAAGATAATTCTTCACACCACTAAAAGAGGTCTCTAGACAGTTACTGCAACTGTTAATCACAGTTTGGATCGATGTGCTGTGATTGACCACACGTAGCAGACAATCAGGATTTTGGTCCCTCACAGTCAGTCAAATTGCTTACAAAGCTCTACAAAGTCTCTTCCTGTTTGAGGTTTTAGTAGCTTTATGAAGTCCTAGAAGCTGTATAAGATGATAGCAATTCCTTACAACTCCTTTACCTTTTTTACATAACTTTTAATCCTGCTTAAGACATTGCCAAAAAAGTAATCACAGAAAATGTAAAAAACTACAGGTTTTATCTTAATTTATTTACTTATTTTAAAGATGCTAATTCATACTTTCAGCATTAATGCTTTGGACTCTATTTATACCTGGCATTAAAGTATCAGCATCAGAAAACTTTAGGAATTCAGCCTATACAAACTTAAGTTAGAATAAGGTCTGAAATATTTCTGATGCCTGTGCTTTTGTTTATTCCATAGCAGTGCTTATTATCTGTGACCGCAGTCACCACATTCTGGCTTTAAAAGCTACAGACAGTGCTGTATCAGCTGGGAATGTCCTTCCTTCCTTCTGTCCCCTGCTTGAGCTGGCTCTTGCAGAGCAGACACAGCACAACCCATCTAACCAAGAAGCCTCCA